AGGAGTTCCCCGCCCGAAATCCCCCGGGGTTTTTTTTTGGGGGGGGGGGGGGGGGGGGAAAAAAAAAAACGGGGGGGGGGTTAAACCCCCCCCCGGAAAGCCCTTTTTTAAGCACCCACACCAACAGCCCCGGAAAACCTTCAACCTTTCCCCTTTGAAAGACAGCGCCGGTTCCCTTCAAAAAAACCTTTCCCAAAAAAAAAAGGGGGGTTTTTCTTTTTGGACCCAAGGAACCGGTTCCCCCCCCCCCCCCCCCCCCAAAGGCCCCCCCCCCCCCCCCCCTCCCCCCGCGTCTCTCGCCTGTCCCAGCACAGCTCCCTCCCCGGCCTCCTCCACCACAATCGTGTCGTACGCCCCCGCGTTCGCCCGGGCGTGAGACTCAAGGTGGCCCGGGGGGCACACGCTCACGGAGGTGCCGTCACTCCTGGATCGCGACGCCCACTGCTGCGCCGACGACGCCTCCTCGGAATCCCTTCTGCAGACCACGAGGGCCTTGGAGCCCGCCGGAGCCGGCGCAAAGGACAGCGGTGGCTGCGGTGGGCAGGGGGGGGGGTTGGCATGGCAGTTGCAGCAGCAGCAGCAGCAGCAGCAGCGCCGGCAGAAGGAGGAGGGCATCATCGCGGACAACGATTTTTCGTTTAGTGTGATCAAGTTGAGGCGGCACAGGCAATTCATATATAGATGTCTACGGAGACGCGGGTCTCCTGTGGTGCGTGTTTTGTGTGGAAAAATAAAAATAAAAATAAAAGATGGCCGAAGAAAACCAACGACACCGACGAAACGACAACGAGAACCATTCTTATATTCTGTCAGAAACAATCTCCAAGGCTTATCGTCGACGAGGGAAAAGGATGGTTGAACCATTCTCGCGATAAAAACTGAGGCAAGCACCGCAGGGGGAAAGGTGGGGCAACAAAACAAACACAAAAAAAACAGAAAAAAGCTCCTGTGTGACCTTCCTCTTGTGTGACCCCGGTTGATACGTCAGGTATATACAATCCGCCGAAAGGCCTGTACCGTAAACCGGCGCCAGAATAGATGGGACGAACACACAAATATGCATGTAGTTTGTTAAGTTCCGGGGAAAATGTCGGATAGATTCCCGGAAAAACAAATCCAACAAAAAAAAAAGAGGATGCCTTCGCGTTGGATTCGTACAGCAACGTATTTATCTGCACGACCGTCCGTGTCTTCTCCATTGATCCTCGCAAAACGTACAGACAGACCGCAGTGACACGATATCTCCCCTGCTGTTCGACAGGCTCAGCAAGACTGGTCTTTGTGCCGGCTGACATCACTGATCTCTTAGCGGATAGTCTTAATCTTAACGACCCAAGAGAGTCCAACGTCTAGCAACATGATCGGGAGCCCATCACCTTGGAACGAGCTCCGGCGCGGAACACTACAGCAGTACCAGCTGCAGATCTCCTCAAAGTTACTTGAAAAATATAGCATGCCGTTGGCACGCACTACTCTGCACCAAAAAAACCCTCAAAGAGAACGGGGAGGACAGGAAAAAGGAAGCCCATGCCTAGCACGCGCTCGTCGTCGACTGCTGCGGCAATCCGCGCCTGCCGCGCCGGCCGGACGGCCCTCCGCTGCCAGCAATAATCAATACCATCGATTACGAGCCCTTCCGGCCCCTTCGCCTTTCCTTCTTGATGCGACTGCTGTTGCTCTGGCGTCGGGTAAGGTAGAGGACTTTGCTTGCATGCTATCATACGATCGTACAAGCATTGGGGCCGCCGCCATCACTCCCCCGAGCACGTAGTAGTTTACTGTGGGTGACGTTAGACAACACACCCCTTGGACCGATTTTCAAAGCTCGAGTACACAAGTTGCTGTATTTAAAATACATGAAAATACAACACAGCAGTGCGAGTATGATCCCCTTCCCCGATGGGAGCGCCTCTAACAGACCTTCGGTACCCCACCCGCTGTATGTATAACGCGCACCCGACACCCACAGCCCACACACGTGGTGGGATAGGACTTGTAGGATTTCTAGAAGTTAGGATGATTTCGAAACGGCCCGCAGAGCCTCCGCACAACCTGCTGGCTCGGGTTCAAACGTTCAAACCTTCGTGTGGCCCCTCCCTTCGAACTCGCTCAAATGAATTAATTATCCTCGACGCCGCTGCCATGTACTCTGCACTTTCTTCTCACCTCGTCTACCTCCATCGCTGATCTCTGCTTGTCCGCTGCTGCTGCTGCTGCTGCTGCTGCTGCTGTATCGGTGTCGCCTGACCGGGTTGTACTGCCCCGGCGGCGGGCGGCCTGTTCGTAGTACACCGCAGCGATCAGTCCCAGGGCAACCACCGTGGCCAACAAAGCCGGCTTTCGAGACGAGGACATCTACTGCTGTAAGAAGAGCCCGCCCCCAACGTTGATTTCACGAGGGGTGCGCGAGCGGGATGACAGAGAGGGTTTGATGGATCCCGGTTTGTGGTGGGCGGGCACTTGGGAGCTCCGCGGAATGTAATACATACCCCGGGGAAGCTACTGCTGTACAACGTGGGGAGCCCCCAGGCGACCGCCGATCTTGTTGGTCGCTATTCGCTCTCTCACTCTCTCCATCAGTGGTCACCGTACACCCTCGCTGCCCAGTAGAGGGGCGAAGAGTTTCCATGACAAAGTGCGTACGGAAAGATAGCGGATCTGATGGGCCGGCTACTGAATCAACTCGCTCGAGAGTTGACGGTGTCATCAAAGATATCATCTCCGATCATCAGGGTGTTGTCGACAAACAAATCGCCACGACGGATATCATTCGAAAGGTGGGTGTGTTCATGCAGCCTAAGGCTTACCATCAGCTCCGGGCTTAAGACCTCACCATCCCATCCAAACGAATCATGCCAGCTTTTTTCAGCATGGTTCCAACGTTTCGAGCGGGTGGTTTACGGGACCGACGCGATCACCCGATGAGATGTAAAAAAAAAATCACCACGCTTGGAATCCAACCAACTCACCTCCACCGTCGACTGCCCGTGTTGTAGTCAAAGCATGACAGTCTAGTGAGCACAAAATCGTTTTTTACGTTTATTTCTCTTCCGATACCAGCTACTCCAAGCACGACAAGAACGTCATTGGATGCTTGTGAAGGTATTTCCTGGATATCCGAGGTGGTGCTCATGCCCCTTATCCTCTCCCCGCTCTCTCTCTCTCTCTCTCTCTCTCTCTCTCTCTCTCTCTCTCTCTCTCTCTCTCTCTCTCTCCATCTCTCTCCCTCTGCACGACTGCAACAAGGAGCTGTTAAGACTGTACGACAAGCCCAAGGTGTCTCAGCTGGAGGCAGTTCTTTTCAAGAGGATTACTGAGGATGAAGCCAGGCACATCTTGTTTCTTCCGGATCACGACCAAGCGGCGCACTACCCGACGTTGATCGCCAACCCTCCGGAGGGGGCGCCTGCGGAGCACCCTCAGCGCGCTCTCCAGGTGCCCGTGTCCTCCTTTTTTTCATCCCATTCACAAGCCCTCGCTCGCAGGTTTCTCATGTAGAAACCTACGCCCTTACCTCTCGAACTGAACTGCTCCAATTTGGGATCACGCAGAAGGATTCCTCCGGAGTGTATTCCCTGCTTGCAGTCAAGGCGTGTGTTCGTTCTCGTTTTACACAAGGTCCGACGAAATATTGAAGACAGCACACACGCACGATTTCTAAATGAAATCAACGAACTTCGCAGCACACACACGTGCGCACATACATATACGCTGCAGTTCCAGCAGGGGGTGAGGAGTTGAACCAGACCGCATTCAAGCCACCAACCAATGTTGTACTAACTGTCCATGCACGTACCCTTGTTGCTTGCTGGTTTGACCATGGAACGGGACAATGGCAAACAACGTCGACGCCGCCGCCACCGACGGCGACGGCAATGGCAGATCCCGCACCTGAGCCTCCTGTACCTGCATCACTTGAAGCGGTGGGACTTCGTGTCCGCCTTCGTCCTATCGGGCGGCCTGCACGCCCTCTGCCCCTTGTTCACGCACGACAACCTCGTCGTCAGAATGAAGGCCATCACCAGCCTCGTCAGCATCACCGCCCACCCAGGCTTCGACTGGTTTGCCCCACTTCCTGGCCGCATCAAAGGCACTGCAAACAACAGCAACGCAATTGACGCAAGGCTGCACCGCGCACTACTAGGCCTCCGATCGGAACCCGCGTTCATCTCCGGCCTCATCGCTAACTCTTGGAGCGGGGGTGCGGCCGTTGATGATACGGACGCAACTGCGATCGAAGCAACAGAGGGGGGTCGGGGAGGCAAGACGTTTCCCGGCGCATGTCTGATGTGCCTGGAGGTGAGCCGACCGTTGAAGCCTCATGAAGTCCACAAGCTCGCCGTGTCTTGTTGACAACTCGCAACAACACCTGTGTACAGGGCTAGTTACCGTGGATGGGTGTCAAGGTTGCCTGTGCACCTGCTACGAGCCTCTTGGTTTGGCAGCGTGCGGGTAGGTTTGAACAAGCACACGGTCGCGTACATTGCCGTCCCTTGCCCCCCGAGACCCCCCGTTGACACAGCGACCACCTTCTTTTTGATTCGCGCCCGTGACGCACCCACGACCTCCGCACTTGGTTGCGGGGCACCGCAGTTGCTGGCGATGTGGCTCAGCTGGGTCCGCGCCCTGCACACGGTGGATGGTACGCTCCGGCTCAGCCGTCCCCTGTTCCGCGCCATCGAAGAGTGGGGGGGTAGAGGTGGCGAGCGAGAGGGAAACATCGCGTGGAGTGAGAGGCTGCCGCTGCCGACCCTGCCGCATGCGAAGAAGACGTGTGGCGACGGTAAAGCGGAAGGAGAAGGTGCTATCGTCGTCGCCAAAGGAGAAATTGTCGACGTTGCTGCCGTTGGAGCCGCTGCCGTAACCGAGAAGGGAAAAATGACTCCTGCTGCAGCGTTGATGGAGAAAGACTCAGCGGCGGCGGCGGCGGAGGCGGCGGCGGCGGCGGCCGAGGGTGACGGGAGTTCGACCGGCGGAAGGGCGCCTGCCGGCGATCTCGAGGCAGAAACAGCGGCCATGATTCAGGCGGAACGCAAGGAGCGCGCCGAGGTGCTCGAGCTCTCGAAGAAGCTCGTGGCCGACTTCGCCCGTTTCCCCCCGGCGGAACAGGAGTGGGAAGGGGTGGAAGAAGACGACCGCGGGGAGAGAAGTGGCGGCGATCTCCCACTGGGAGGCGGAGCCGCCGCTCCGACACCGACCGAGGAAGGAAAGTCGTCGACGGCAGCGGGCCGGGGCTGCTGCGACGATGAAGCGCGCGGTTCCGGCGACAGCGGCGGCAGAGAGGAAACAAGCGAAGCAGGCGAGGAGACTCGCTCTTCTCTGCCGTCCGAAGCGACAGAAGTAGCACCGCAGCCTCCTCCGACGTCAGTCTCCACTCGGAAAGCCCTTGCGCTCAAGCTCGAAGGCAACGAAGCTTTCGGAGAGGGACAAATGCAAGCGGCGATGGAGGCGTACACAAAGGCGCTTGGCGTTCTGAACGGGGCCGCCACGGAGGCCCGGGCCTTGGAGGGTGCGCCGAAGAAAACGACCACGGTGACGACGACGACGGAAGAGTTGGAAGCGTCTCGGGCCGAGGCTACCGCGCTGAGCGGAGTCCTGCATAGGAACCGCGCGGCGGTGGCGCTGCGCTTGTTTAACTCTAAGGCGGCGGCGGCGGCAGCGGCCGGGAAAGAAAGAGCCACCCAAGACAACGAAAAGGACGAGGCCGCACCACGAGGTGGTGGGGTCGATGATGGTATCATCAGCAGCGCCGCCGGCTGTTCGCAACGCCAGCCTTCAACACACCCGACGCCGTCAGGCCGGAGGAGAAGGGTCTCGCCCGGCAGGGAGCGAAGAACCCAAGAAGAAGAAACGGACGACGTGCGCAGATCCCTCGAGCTGTCGCTCGCGCTGCTGGAGGAGTGCGAGAGTGACTGCTTGAGGGCGATCGAGGTTGACGCCGGCGACAAGAAGGCCCGCCTGCGGCTGGACAAATGCCGGGAGCTGCGCCGGAGGTGTTACCGGGGGGGGCTGGCCTCCGCTTCCGCCGGCGGAGAGGGCTGCTCCACTGCCCACTCTAGGCAGGACGAAAGGTGTGGGCGTCGTTTCTGAGCTATGTAGGGCCCTGCTTAGATGCCGCGTACATACATAGCTGAGTTGCGGGCGAAGGAACCCCTGCTCAACTCTACGGGAAGCGTTGCTTCGAACAGGACTGTTCCCTCATCACCCTCCTTCGGTTGCCAGAGCGTGAGCTGCATTCGAATAGATGTAGATCCCAATAGCTGTCGAATAGTACGGCAGAACGGGACGAATAATAGCAAGATTCAAGGGCACCCACACAACACGTACAATATCCATCGCTGCCCCTCCCCCTTCCACCGGAGATGTTTCGAGCTCGAAAAAGGCGTTGGGACTTGAACGCTCAAGAAGGAGACAAGATGGAAACAGATGGGCGCGGCATGATTTGAATTTGGCAAAGTAGAACATAGTGAGCGAACGATCGGAATTGGATTGGAGAAGTAGGACCAGCAAAGAGCGATGTCCCCGTTGGAGGGCGAGTACACCCCCTCCCAATGTCGATATTAATTCCAACAAAAAAAATGCGCGTTTGATATGTTACAACTACAACCCCGCTACCCCCCTTCCCGCCCCCGCCCCCCAATCTGTATCTCCGTCTCTCTCCGCACAGGCTCCAGGGGCGAAAGGCCGACCTTGTTGCCAAGATCCTTGCCCGAGCAGAAAAGTCTCACGAGATCACCGGGGGAAGCGGCGGCAGCAAGAAGACGACAACACCCGCTGCCACCACCGCCGCCGCCACCGTCCCCAAGAACTCATCCTTCTCGACCGCAAGCGACGGCGGTTCTAGCCATGGCACAACCGCGGTGTCCGGCAACAGCGGCGGCGGCGACGCAAACGAAGCGTTGCTTGCGGGCGCGAGCCGGCACGGTGCCAGGGTTGAGAGCGGCGGCCGCGGCGGCGATGATTGTGGGGACCGGGAGGGACTGCCAGCGGCGGCTACCACCAAAGGCGGGGCGGCCCCCGTTCTTGCCCGGCAGGAGGGTGAGTGCCACGCGCCGCGGGAGGGCGGGGAGTTGCGAGGGGCGGCGGTCGCCCGAGCCTCTGCCGAACCCACCGCGGCTGCCGCAAGCACTCGACACGGGATGAACCGCCACCACCACGAGCAGGAGACAACACCCCCCGCTGCGGGTTTGCCGTCCGACGGTCCCCTCCGTGGTAGCGGTAATAATAGCGGTGTGGTTGGAGCAGACCGTATGGTCTCGAACGGAGACCTCGGCAAGAAAACTCAGAAGAAGAAGGTGGCGTCGAAGGAGAAGAAGAAGAAGAGCGGCGAGCACGGCCAAGGCAACAGCGCGTCGCGATCGTCCCGGCACGGCAAGGCCGACGCGGTGGCCGTGCGGAGCCTCCGCCAGCGCCTGGAGGGCGTCGCCGCGAGAGCGGCAAAGACAGGCACGCGGCAAGACGGTCGGGACAAGAGAGAGGAGGAGGCCGCAAAGGAGGTGTGGAGTGTTCTCGCCGAAGGTGGGGTCTCGCTGGAGAAGCTCTTCGGGGATGGGATCACGGCGGAGGCCCTCGTGGGCGTCGCGCTGGGTCTGAGGCACGGATGCGGGATCGACGGCGGCACGAGCAATGCCGAGCGGGCGAGTCAGGTGCGTAGGTTGTGAGCATCTCGGGCGGGAGGTGGGGGTCGGGATACTACGACGTTGTCACGGACTCACCTATCCTGCCTGTCGATTCGCGTCGACAGAACTTCACATATTGGACGGCCTGAAACGCTACCACCCTGGGGCTGAAAACACACACCAATAGCTTGCCCGTACACACACCAATAGCGCTCCCCCTCCATGGTCGGTTTCGGATTGGAGCTGCTGCTGACAATCGAGCGTCGAGCTGCCTCCCTTCTCTCGCCGCCAGATCTAGCAACCAATTTGCTCTCCTTTGCTCCGCGCTCCGCGTTCACTGGTGTATCAGTGTCGGCACAAAGTCAGTACAGCCGGCCCGGCACCCGTTTTCATGTGCACGCGTGCCCCCTCTCTCTGCTGCCGTCCCACACGCGCAGCTCTTCGTGGAGCTCTCAAGAGTGAAAAGGGTGGGCCTGGTGTCTGCAATGTGCTCGGCGGACGAAAGGCTGCCCCTACAAGACGCCTCGGATGGCATCCGTCGGCACCACGAAGAAAGTCCCAAGGAGCACGTCGGCCGCCGTCGGCCGAAGGGATGCGGCGGCGGCGGTGGCAACGACGAAGAAAAAGACGAAGCCTTGCCACAGGGGTGTGGGGGGGAGAGTCGCTGGTCGGTGTTCGAAGCTGCTGTTTCCACGCTGGGGTTGTCACGGTAGTGGTGATAGCACTGGAGTCTCCTCTCCACACAGCTGTGACGTGCCATTCTTGCACCCCAGGTAGGCGATTCCCGCCCCTCCCAAGGTCGTGCACGAGGCAGAGGAATAATGTCCTTGCACGAGATCGGGCGGCACGTGCTCCACCTAACCGCCCACCCCATCAACGACCTCTAGACTTTGTATTTCGTAGAGGGGCGTGTTCTCCTTGTGCATCACCATGTACGGTGTTTGGTGTCGTCCTTCTGCGAAGAGCTGTGCGGAAGCACAGGCAGTCGTCCAGCAATGGGCTAGGGTTAGACATGGTGGAGGGAGGGATTATATTTACGCACCGACGTTGATCTTTACGCGACTCTGTATGTCTGCGCTCCTTTTCATCCAGAGATACGAGAGAGAGTAAATGGTAATAGTCGGAGGAGAGACGCTCCCACGAGAAGCTGACCTGCTGCATTGTAGCAAAAATGTCACGGCGGCGGGTAAATGGAAAACCCGGCATGCGAAACGGTTCGTTCCACGAATACAACATCGTGGTGGTACTCAATAGGGCCTTGATCGTATCGCCCACGCTGCGCAACCTTCCGGTGACCGTTCGAAACACCAGAACGGAGGGTTACGAGTTGGAACGCGTGCCGCGCATGATGGCTTTCTTTGTAGTACACAGCGTTTAGAGCTCTCTTGAAAGAAACAGTAAGGCCATATGCCATATGGTATCATTCCCGTAGGACTGCCCCTTTCGAGAGTTTTCTCGAGGGGATGCGTTGAAGTCTTTCCAGCTGGGTGATGTGCAAGGCGGATAGATGGATGTTTCCCTAACACTCCGAGCACACGTTACATGTAAACCAGTAAAGCCACACGGGGTCCTCGCGGCAACACACCTACGTCCCCTTTTCGAGGAGGTTTCCAGTTTCTGCGAAGGACTATCAGGGCCCTGATCTTGAGATGGGGTCCACGATGACTTCCCCTGAAGCTCACTCTCACCTTACCCTCGCTAGTCAAGCCACGCTTGACCAACTCGAAAACTCCTCGCCTACATGCTGTAACCTGGAACTCACGCCCACCTACAGTTGCCGGACTAAGGCCACGCCACTCGAAAGGGGCGGGGGGGGGAGGTGGGGAGATCCCCTTCAGAAATTGTACAAACTCCCCGCGTCTGGCTGTGGAGGACGACTTCCTCTTTTCACATGAGGGCCGAATGATCCCTTGGACGTGGGTGAGTCTGTCATCGTCCAAACACTAACACTCATGATTCTGTCATGCCAGCAGAAACACAAACCACCTCCATGCCATACGCGTGTATAGATGCGTAAATATTTTAGGACTAGAACACGTCGTCCAAAACGCTGCCTTGATTAGGCGGCCGCGAAAATTCTAACGTCGTGCTGCCCGTTCGATGCAACAACAATGCAAGAGTTTGTTTCACTCGCTTCAACACTATTTACAGAAACACACCTCGCCACGAACCCCGACTGGGCATACATGTGTGTGCAAAACGACTAACACAAAACAAACAATATAAAAAAAATGTTTCAACGACAGATACGGCCGGCGAACACAAGCCCAACATAAACAGCAAAGAAACAATTTTCCTTTATAGATCCAGTCATCGCGGCGTGGTATGTACCAAAGGCGCCGCCAGCACAGTGTCGTGCCCCAGGGGGAGCGGAGGCGTGCACACGACAGGCTGTCCAGTATAGTCTATATACCGTGCAGGGCGGCACTCCCAGACTGGCATTCCACATGCGCGTCCAAGCAACACTGCCACCGGAAGCATCTTCCCCGAGATGAAACACTACAATAGCACGCAAAAACACCAACATCCCAGGAAAACCAGGAGAGCAAAAAATCCGGAGCAAGCAGGCAGTGCCTCTCGCAATCGCCTCTCAGTGGCTCTATCTAGGATGCCGAGACGAGCTAGTCCGACTAGCTCATCCCGAAACAACGACACAAGCACATTCATTCATTCATTCGCGGGGGCACAAACAAGACGCCACAAGCTCGAGCCCCTTTATCATACCCCGGCTATGTAGTCACCCTTTCCATCTCCTTCTCCGAAGCTCCATCGAGCCATCTCTACCGTTACCCGCGGCAGGCCCCTGCCCCCCCTCTCCGGACTCTGGAGATTCCGCCGCAAGCTCCGGCTTCCACCTCTTCAAACCTCTTCTACGCCCGGGCCGCGCCCCTCCCCCACCAGACCCCTCCACCGAGGGCGCGGCTACACCCCCGGCACCGCGACCCCTATCCCTCCCGCTGCTACCGCTGCTTGTCAACAACGCCGAGGGGTCAAAGCCCCCGACAAGGCCTTCCTCGTCGTTGTGCGTCCCGTCGTCCGCCAGAGAGTGGGGGTGGTGGTAGCGGCCGCCGCCGCCGCCGCCGCCTTCGAGGGCAGCCTTGAGGAGCCTCGGCTCGGCGGTGGCGAACAGGTTGTCCTCGCCCTTCGTGATGTTGGTCCAGGCCTGGTACCTGCGTGGTTGCAGGGGGGGGGGGGGGGGGGGATACCCATTGTTTTTTTTTGGGAGGGGGAATATCCATTTTTCGCTTCCCTTAGTCGTCTGGCCACTGACCATGCGGCACCCCTTTTCGAGACAGGGGCACCGCAATTTCCTAATCCTCATGTATGGGCATGGTCGGGGCACCAACGCTCGGAGGTTCTCTCGACGTCTCTTGTCATACGGTCTAAAAACGTCGTTTTGTCGGTGCCTGCGTGGGGTGCGAGGCGACCTTCTATTATACTGTGTTGAACGCTGGCATCTGTTGAAGGGGCGGTCACTACTTCATCCGTACAGCACCGATCAGGTCGGGAATAGGGAGATCCAATGCCTCTTAATTTACCGCACGTAGACCCAGAGGTTCTGTACTACCACCACGCAGTGGCCATGGCGGCGTTGTCTTCGACACGAGCTCGCGCGTATGGCACATCCATCAGACAACGTGTTCGTGCAGATGATTATATCCCCGTCCAACGGCGGTAGTAAGTTCGCCCACATGGTACATCCACCAGAGCACGTGCCCATGCAGACATACACATCCCCACTCAAACTGCATCAACAGAGAGTGCGTCAATATGGTACACACACCAGAGCACGTGCTCCGGTTGCAGCTATAATGCTATTCTCACTCCAACTATTTACAGCAACAGCAAACGCGTCTCACCAGCTTTGCCACGGGAACAATTCCGTGGACCGAAGGAGGGTCCTCCTGGAAGGCTCCGCCAACGCCTCGAAAGACGCGTCGAAAACCCTCGAGGCGTTGTTGAAACCGTCGATGGCGACCGCTACGGCTGACCTCGCCACTATCATCGTCACCGTCGTCGTCGTTGGTGTTGTTGTTGTTGTTGGTGGTGGTGTTGGTGTTGTTGGTGGTGTTGTTGTTGGTGGTGGTGTTGGTGTTGTTGTTGTTGTTGTTGTTTGTGCCGTTTGTTGATTGTCGTCGTTTCGAGTGTCGCCATTGGTCCCCGCAATGAAAAGTACGGCACAGGACGGGGGGAGGGGAAGGGGAGAGGGCGCCATGACGTCATCCACGCGTTGCTATTCTCTATTCCAAACGTGTCCGTGATATTCTTGACTCCAAAGTTCCGGGACTGTCGTACGGTACAACTCAATACTCTCCAAGCAGTACTCATAGGTATTCCCCGCGCGCCTGGCCAACACGGAGCGTTTCCCTATGGCCCCGTGGCGTCACCGATACGCCGGTAGCTTTGCGATTCTTGGCTTGAACAGCAGTAATAGTGGTTCTGAGACAGGGTCATGACAAGGACCACCGTTGCACTAATCTTGGTCAACTTCGCGAACCCTCCTCCCCGACTAACCGTTGTTGGCGTAGGAAGCCGCTCCCTGCAGGACGCTTGGCGGTGGCGGCTGCCTCAACTCCGTCTCCATGTCTTCGAGCGACTTGCGTATGTTGCTCTTTTCGAGCGCGTGGCGACACGCCGCAAAAATAATGAACACATTTCAGCGGGGAGGATATCACGTGGAAATCAGAGATTAGTAGGTTGCGAAATGCGAGTGACGCGTTGTGTGTGATGGTGTGGGCCCTGAGTTGCCCAAGTACGGCATGCTCTTGTGAGAGCGTTGCAGTCAGCTCATAACGGGCAGGTTGTGGCCACAGCAACTCCTTAAGTGCGACAAACAAAACAAAACAGGCGCGATAACCTCCCAGTAGTTTTTCGGTTCAATTCTACGTGTGCATATGTAGATGGAGTCGTTTCTACCATCCTACATATTCCAGTCTTGAAAAGAGGTACCTGGACGCACCTGATGGCTTCGGCGCCAAGAATTGGTCAATAAAGGAGCCCCCCTTGTCACGACGTCAGAACGGGCACGCAACTAAAGTATCTTCTTGTAAGAAATAGACGCTCAGTATTATCACGAAGACTACGTACACTTCGTCCTATTTACATGTGTGTGCCGTTTATTGGGCAGTTGACCTGTGTCCACGGCAGGCGTCCGCGTTAGATGGACCGGTACGGTGAAGCTAAAAATGTGCCGAGCGAAGGCCGGAACGGTTTTCTAACGCCAAAATAACAACAACATCCACAACAACACCGGAACGGTTTCTTGATGCGAAGACAACAACAACAACAACAACAACACAAGTTACGATCTAAGCAACACGGTTCAGACGTAGATCCCACCCTAACGCCGTTTTTTTAAGTCCACGTTCGACGGTCACAACCGAAACAAATAAAAAAAGTGTGAGCCTCGACCCGAACTTTGACGACTTGCGGGCGGGCGGGCAGGCCGCCCGTTTCTGCAAACAACATGATCGACGACACGCTGACGATGTGACTCCACGCCCGCAAGCCCGTCGAGCCCGTTTTCTGCAGACAGCATGGTCGACAACACGCTAACGATGGCGTCGCACGTGCATGCCTACCTGCAAGCCGTCCAGCACTTCTCTGAGGTTCTCGATGACCTCCGTCTCTGCCGCGAGCGCGGCGTACGTCATCACCCGCGAGATCTCCTGCGTGTCGTTAAGCCTCGCCGCCAGCGAGGCCAGGGTCACCTGCCAAGCGTTTGAGAACCGGCGTTGGGTGTTTGTTGCCGTGAGTGCGTCGAGTGTGCCGGGGTGGTGAGGAAGGCGGTCGGTGCCAGGCAGCGGCATGAGTGTGTCGCATGATGCGTGTGCCGGGGCGGTGAGATAGGCGGTCGGTCCCAGGCAGCGGCATGAGTGTGTCGCGTGATGCGTGTGCCGGGGCGGTGAGATAGGCGGCCGGTGCCAGGCAGCGGCATGAGTGTGTCGCGTGATGCGTGTGCCGGGGCGGTGAGATAGGCGGCCGGTGCCAGCCGGCGGCATGGTTCGGGGGAAAGAGCTCAATACATCCAGCCAGCCCACAGGACCATAAAAACACATGGGGAAAAAACTGCTACTAATGAGACGGGTTTCTCCAGGTTGATGTGCGGCTCAAGGTTCTTTGGTCGTTTTGTGGTGTCGACAACACGTCTGAGTTCAACAACCACCAACGCTTGCGCCTTCTCAACGGTATCGAGACGATGCGCGGCTCAAGTTTCTCTGTGTGCATGTGCGGCGTGGACAACACGCCTGAGTTCAACCACACCCAACACTTGCGATATCTCTTGATGTCAAGTGTGGGTGGTGATTGAAATCAGTCGTGTTGTACACACTGGACATCACACGAAGAACCCTGAGCCGCACATCGTCTCAACAAACGTTGAGAAAGCGTAGGTGTTGGTGGTGTTCGAACTCGGCTCCTTGTCCACACCGCACATCAGGCAAAGAACCCTCTCCGCCGCATCTCATTGCCAAAACCTGGAGACAACCAACCGTCTCACAGTGGACGCCAGCGGCAGGACTCCCGACGTTACAGCAGCAGGCACACCCGCGACACGATTTTGAAGGAAACCGCCGCGCTCGGATGAGGCGGGCCATCTTCTGGTCGTCGAATACGACGAGTTGACCGACGGCCGCACCGTGCTCTCCTTCTTCGTCCATCTCGACCCAACGCTTCTCTTCCACGGGTGGGAACCCCGCTGTGACCTCACGCTTCCCCGCCCTTTGGAAAATTGTCGGGTCGAGATGAGCGAAGAAGGCGTCTGCCTTGCCACTCGTCGTATTCTACGACCAGAAGATGACCCGCCTCACCCCAAGCGCGGTTCCCCCGCAAAGCGGTTCCCCCGCAAAGCGGTTCCTCCGCAAAGCTGGGGTGGCGCTGAGGTGCCGCCGCCCCGCTGCTGCTGACACGTACATAGGTCGACGACATAGTACGTACCTCACACACGACCGCATGGTACAAAGCAGAACGCCAATCACGCAAAAAAACGACAGCAAAAAAACGATCTCATACAAAGCTTACAACGGCACCGGCAGTACGAAGCAGAAGTACTCAACCAGCTCGCAACGGCAGCAGCAGCTCTCAAACAGCTTGCAGCATATAGCTTACAACGGGCAGCGGCAGTACGAAGCACAAGTACTCAAACAGCTTGCAACAACGACAGCAGCAGCAGCAGCAGCAGCAGCATCAGCAGCATCAGCACTCACATCCGCTCCCCCGTCCCTTCCGTAGTACGCCTGCGCCGCCCCCTCCCCCGACAGAAACGAAGCCCCGCCGCCCTCGCCGGGCCTGCCCGCGGCCAGCAGCCGGACGGCGTCGGTGACAAGGGCCGGCGGCACGGCGCCGAGGAGGAGGGCACGGTACACTTCGTCGAACGAGAGCTCTCCGATGCCCTTGTCGTCCAGTTTTCTGATGTGGTATTGCGG